TCTCTCTCTCTCTCTCTCTCTCTCTCTCTCTCTCTCTCTCTCTCTGACACACACACACAAACACACACACACATTTACACACTTGTTGAACCCCTATTGCATCCCACCTGTCCTATTTTAAAAGGAAGCACTTAAATGTAGAACTGCCAAACCATGTACAACTATTGAGAGACAGCCTGACTTCAGGCTCTGACCAGAGCACACCAACTGTGAGGCCTCGGCGAATGATTGTCTTAGTCCCCTCCTCTGCACAGTGAGGCTCATCAAATTAGTCACCTCCTTTGTACACTGAGGCTCATCAAATGTGCATTTGCCACTGAGAGGACCACATGAGAACATGGAGTGTAGCACAGTGTCCAGTAGGCATGTGCTATGCACACATCTGTTGACTGTTTGATGCAGTAATGTGAACTATGAAGCTCATTCCACAGGAGGGCAAATGAACTGAGTGATGAGGGCAAGGAACCTTTGCAGAGCTCAGCATCATCCTTCTAAGGGACTTCCCTTTGTCCTCCTAGTCACACCCCACCTAGATCTGACTCATGGACACTGTGTTCTCAACAGGACCTTCACATTTACACTGGACTTTTTATGATTTATAAAGAACATTAAAAATTTTATAGTGTGTATTTTTTTTTATCTTCTCCTCTTCCTTGTAATTTTTTTTTCTAGAACATCTGGTTTGTTTGGTTTTTTCTTCAACCCTCCTCTCATTCTCTCCCTGGTAGTTTATTTGTGATATCGGGCTAAGAATATCTAGTAATATTCTGAAAACAAATCACTCTAAATCACTAAAGAAAAGGTTGGGAGAGGCACACAGTCGCAAGTCTTATGACTGGGGACAAGCCTGCAATTCCCATAAAACCAGAGACCCTCTGCGCTCACCCTCTTCTCCCTCAGCCTCACAGAGCATGGGTCTCTCCTGGCTGCCTGGCAGCTCTGTGGCTAGAGAGCCCATGGGTTCCCCATCCAATATAAGCCAAACTCGGTTCACATCTCATTCCCAGCCATCTGAACCCTTGTCCTTATCTGAGCGACCCATGAGCGCAAAGCAGACAGCTCAGAGCCACCATTAGCCCTTTCCCTGTGACCATCTCTTCTTTCCTTCTTAGTCACTAAGACCTGCCAATTCCCAAAAGGCCCTCACCGTCCCCTCTGCTTCATGGCTTCTGGTCCTCCTGGCTGGGAGCTATCTCTCAGGTGGACTGTCTGTAGAACACAGCTACCATAATGTCCTGAGAAACAGATAAAGAGTTCACTTCCCACTTAAAGCCCCTGATGATTCCCCACTCATAAGAGTCCAAACTCCTCCAAAGCATCAGAACTGGGAGTTTGGATTTCCACAATTTGGCAGGACCCACCTAAGAGGTCCAGAATAAGACCTGCCCAAAAGTATCATTCCATCCTCTTACAAGGCAGCCCATTGGCAGCACATGACTGAGGGTTGGGCCTCGGGCTCAGGAGGTTACACACATCTCACTGAGGAAGAGTAAACTTCACTGACAGTCACGCAGTCATGCTCTGAGTCCAGAGTTCATCTTCAGTCTCATCTTAAAGAAGTCACAGCTAAGGCCTGGAGAGGCAAATCTACTCAATTCAAGGTCAGAACTCAGTTGACCAGGTTCTGACCCCCAGCTCTTGTTTCATCTGCCAACAGCCTGAATGACTCTCCTCTGCACAAAGGTCAGGGTCCCCACAGCTTTCCCTTTGACTGGACACTTCACCCCACCCCCACACCTGCAGAGGAAGCTGGCCCAGAGGATCAGAACAGGAAACAGTGAGCTTTGGCACTGCTTCAGGATCAGACACAAGGGCTTTTGACTACTGAAAAAAAATAGCCCATTGTCTCCGTGGGTGGGACCAAACCAAAAACCAGTTTCTTTGTGCCCAGAGCCATGAAATGTAAGAGCAGAAGTAGGAGGAGGGGAGAAAAGGCTGGGTCCTTTAAGAATAGAGCAATCACAACAGGCTCTACTCACCTGCCCCACCCTTACCCACTACCCTGGTTTTGCTGGATTTGGGTTTATTTTCCCTCATTTAGTGCCCCACATGGCTTTGTGAGTCTCTCAGGATCTCGGAGGACTGGGAAAGGTGTGGCTTCCTGGAGGACAGAGGAGTCAATGGAGCATCAAGGAATGGACGGCTCCATCAGCAGGCTTTTAGAGAGAGCTGTTTTATCACTGCCCCACTTGCCAGGGAAAGACAACAACAAGCCCTGAGCTGCAAACCTCAGCAAACTGGGAGGAGCCTGTCTGGAGACTGGGTGCCTGCCCACCTCAGCAATGCAGGAGACAGTCTGGGGGAAGCACAAAAGGCTGAGCCCAAACAAGGATTTCAGAACTTCCTCCCATGCCAGCAAGTCAAAAGAAATTGGACATTGATTCCAGGTTGCTATAGCATGTCAGTTCACCCGATAAAAAGCTACAGATCATTTTCTTTAAAGACATTCATGTGATGAACCATTCAGACTGGCAAGATCTACTTAAGGAAGGACAAAGACCTCCCCTCCTCCACCTGCCACAGTCTTCTTCTGGCTCTTTGAACTCATTCCTATCACCAAATGATGACTTTCAGAGACCCAGGAGATGTTCCTGAGGTGCACTGAACACGTCTCTCCTTACATGATGGGAACCAAATATAAAATCAGAAGAGGAAACAGCTATTCCCATATGCTAACCCCTGGAACACGAAGACTACAGGCATTCATTCCCCAGTTCTTACAGTTTCAAGTGAGTCTCTAGGGCAAAATCAAGGCTTCAAGAAGAATTTTAAGAAAACTTTGTAGGTTGAGGGGCAAATCTGACTCTGCCTGCTACAGCTCCTGGAGCTTTCTGCGTACTTTGGCCCATAGCTCCTTCAATATTCAGAGTCAGGGACAGGCGGCAGACAATTCCTTATGCTTTCTCGTCTGTCCCTGACTTACTTTCAGAGACCCTCTTAACTTCATTTGAACCACTGATATATCCAGGGAGATTTCGATCCCAAGACACGGACTTCATTGCATTTGAAATGTCCTACTCACCAGACAGACAGTGTTCCCAGGTTCCAATGGCTTGTGTATATTAGGTAGCCATTATCGTACCTAACACAAATATTCCGTCTTTCATTTTTTTGTTGTTTTTTGTTTTGTTGTTGTTGTTGTTGTTGTTGTTGTTGTTTGAAGACAGGGTTCTATTGTGTAGCCCTGGCTGTCCTGGAACTCACTCTGTAGATCAGGCTGGCGAAGAACTCACAGAGATCTGCCTGCCTCTGCCTCCAGAGTGCTGGGCTTAAAGGCCTGCACCACCACTGCCGACCCCATAGTACCCTTTCTATTCTTTACCAGGGGCATAAACTCACCTGCTTTCCTCCTCTACTTTTCTCACTTGACTGAATGGTAGAGAAAGAGAACAGACTTGGAGGCAATGCTCTGTAGCTCTGGCCGGACGATCTTCCATCTCAGCTATAGCACAAGGGTCATTCTTACTGCATCAGAAGGTGATAGGAAGAAAGTAAATAAAACCACACACTTGCCTGGGTTGTGATCATCCCCCATAAGCATCCTTGTAGTCCTCTCCTCTAGCTATCCAGTTCTCTCTTCCCTGGCCTTTTCTCCATTGCCTTAAGCGACATCCTTGGTCTACCCTGCCATGTACCACAGTCCTGAGTGCTCCCTTCTGTTGTGACTCTGCTCCAGTGTTTTCTCCAGGGAGTCTACTGTCATCTCAGGTTGCCCAGTGTGTTTATATGAGGGAATCCAGCTTTAAGAAGTCCTTTTTATGTTCAAATAAAACACATGCTCCCTCTGCTTACATACACCAGCCCCAAACCTGTTCTGGTGCACACATCCATTTCCTTATTGGAGCCTTCTTCAGTCCTTCTCTTTACACCTTATAAATGAGGACATTACAAAAATAAAGATAATGACTCTGGCCCCAATAATGAATTCTCTTTGCCAGATGAATGGTCTTTGCAGGGCATTCCCTGAAACCTGTGTCTAGGCCTGACAAGCCTATATGATTTCAGGGTACACACCAAGACCTCCAGGAGATTACAACTGTTTCCACACCCCTCACAACCTCCTTTTAGCAAAAGTATTTTTCTAGAACTGCCTAGTGAGATCTGGAACATCCACCTCCCTGAACCATTTTAACCCCAGCTGGCCTGCCAAGGTCCAGCTGCAAGCAACCATTCCAGCCTAGACACCCAGGCTGGCAGCTTTGCTGTTCCCATAATCACAACAGCTCACAGCCAGCCCCACTGTGTGCATTTACCACTTAAGGCTCTGAACAGAACTGCAGATGTCACAACCACTAACAGCCAGCCCCATCGTGTGCAGTTACTGCCTAAGACTTTGCACGAAACTGCAGGTTTCTCAAGAGGATCTGTTTTCATACCATTTTTACAGCCTGAAAATGTCAAAATAGGGGAGTTAAGCAATGTTCCCAATGTGGTCAAATTCTGTAATTTAACTTCATCTTCACTCAATCTGGGCAGAGGGAATCTTAAAATTTTCTGTAGTCTCCTAAAGAAAATCCATATTCCAGAATGATTTTTGGCGCCACCCCCCCCCCATTTTCAGATTTGACAAACACCTGCCTTCTAACACCACCTGCACAATTTCAGGCCCTTCTTTAACCTGTGTTCGTGAATGGTTAGTCTTTTTTAGAAAAATGTAGGACCCTAGAAAAATACCTAGAAAAATGTAGGTTCCCTGCTCTTATAAGAAGTCATTTTTACTGAATTGTTATTTGCACAGACATTCTCAGACCATAAAACATATGCACCAAGAAAAAAATGCAATAAGGAAGCAGAAAGAGGGAGAGTTCCTGGAACAATCACAAAGAAGAGACTCCAAAGACAATGTTTGTGGCCTTGAATAATGGCAACCCTGCCTGTCCCTTTCCATGCCTCTTGGCACCTGGCTTCCTTCTCAGTTGTCCCTATGGCCTCACTTTCATAGACCCAAGGAGTGGAGGAGGCAGAAAGGAATTCGTGAGAGAATTGACTCACTTATGTACACATCCCCTGCGCCAGAATGGGATTAGTAAAAAGGTTGCCATTCAGGATGCCTAGTTTAAGAACAATTAAGCAGCTGTACTTCCTAGAAACTATGACGTTGTCTGAGACCAGAGGTGGGTCCTCACCCTTAGGAACTTACTCCTCTCCCTTCTCAATGGGTTGGGTTACATTCCCCTTCCAGTAGATCACTTGTTTATTGAGTTATATTCAAAGAAAGAGAAAAATGTCAGTTGGATTCCTTAAAGTCCCAAGCATTCCATTCCATTCAAAAGGGTCTGTCATTTTAGTGATGAGCAAGGCACGAAACAAAGATTAAAGGCCATGCAGGATTTTGACAGCAAGCAACTTTTACCAAGCAACCATGAGTAACAACCTACAAATTGCCTCTAGGGACCCCTGAACTATAATAATGAAAATGAAGGAGCCTAGCAATAGGACCTTTCTGTTTGTGCCGCATCTAAAGGTCACCACGGCTCTCATCATCACAACCTTGGCCCTTATCTCCGAATCTGTAGGTTTCCAGTATTCAGATACATATACACATATCATGAGCTCGCTCCTTTCTTTCTTTCTTCCTTCCTTCCTTCCTTCCTTTGAAACAGAGTCACATTATGTAGCCCTGGCTAGCCTGGAATTCTCTATATAGAGCTTGCTGGCTTTGAACTCCCAGAGAAGAATTCAGGAGACTGAACAGGAAGACAGGGGCCCTTCAGGACATAAAATGTGGGCCAGGACTGACTGCAATTCGAGGAGCAGAGGGCCAGGCTAGAAGGCCTGTGAATGGTACCCTCAGAAACCTGAACTCAATCTATAGTATACAGGGATAGCTGGAAATTTGGATAAACAGCATTTCAGAAAACAAAAGGTTGCCTGTTTTTAAGTATTATTAAGAAAGCTTGAGTTTAAAGAAGGATTTCTTACCTTTGACAATGCATTAGAATGATCTGGAAAATTTTGCTTTGTTTTATTTTTCAAGAAAGAGTTTTTCTGTTTAACAGCCCTAGCTATCCTGGAACTAGCTCTTGTAGACAAGGCTGGCCTCGAACTCACAGAGATCTGTCTACCTCTGCCTCTTGAGTGCTGGGGTTAAAAGTGTGTGCCACCACCACTTTTTTTTTAAATCTAGGGTCTCTAGTCCAGACTGGCCTGGAACCTGCTATTAAGTTCCAATAATCAAAGATGACTTTGATCCTGCTGACCTCACCTTCAGTGGTGGGATTACAGGCATGTGCCACTGAACCCAGTTCAAGTGGAGCTGTGAGTTTGGGGATCAAATCCAGAGCTGCACATATGCTAGACACCACACCCTCTTGCTTACTATTACTATGCTCACCAATGCTTATGGATTTGGATGTTTTGCATACATGTGTGTCTGTGCACCTGAAATTCTTTTGTTCATGGCTAATGCTTATTTCTTCTTGATATAAAAAGGGGGAGTTTGGAAACCATCCTAAGCCACAGCCTTACAAGTTCATCTCTGGCTGTGGTCTCAGCTAGCTGATGAGCTTTTTGTGCCCCGTGGAAATTTATTTTTATAATTTTTTATTTTTTTCCTGGAATAATGTTTGCTTCTGGTGTAATAGACTTTGGTGGTATATCCCCAATCTTTGTGTGACCCTCCCCCCGTGGACCTAACATTTTTGTTGCCGAACCCGAGACCTCATGCAAGCCTGGTTCTGGGGGTACACCCAAGTCTCTGGCAGACTTTACTGTACTGTTTTTACCAATTGATAAGTTTCTGAGCTTTATCTGGTATCTACTGTCTAGACAATCTGGAGATCTGGTGACACACTTCTAATCTCTGAGTCAGAGGGAAACAGGGGAAGTTTCAATTCCTCCTCTGGTCAAAGGGTTATGACCCTTTGGGACTAGTACAGGGTCACATGATTCAATGCACAGCATCTCCCCATCTGTGTCTGCTAACTTTATGTCTCCTTGTTCTTTTTTAAATATTTATTTATTTATTATGTATACAATACTCTGTCTGCAGGCCAGAAGAGGGCACCAGACCTCATTACAGATAGTTGTGAGCCACCATGTGGTTGCTGGGAATTGAACTCAGGACCTTTGGAAGAGCAGGCAATGCTCTTAACCACTGAGCCATCTCTCCAGCCCCCTGTCTCCTCGTTTTTGTTTGCTTGTTGTGAGCCTCCTTGTTGTGGTTATGAATGAAGTAATTTCAACTGCCGGAAAAGCTTCTTCTAAACCTAAGGCTCCCCTGGATCTTATCCTCTCTCAGTTCCAGGACTTCAAGGATACTGCTGTGTCTCTACCACCCATAGAGTGGCCAGCCTTTTGAGTGACCTCCTGCAGGTTCCTTTGATATTTTTTTAAAATGCTTTCATTGAACTATATATTTTTCTCTGCTCCCATCCCTTCAGCCCCCTTCCCCTTCTATCTTCTCCCATAATCCCCATGCTTCCAATTTACTCAGGAGACCTTGTCTTTTTTACTTCCCAAGTAGATTAGATCCATGTATGTCCCTGGCTCAGGCCTGCTCCCGTGGAGGACCCTGGCTTGGGCCTGGTCCCACAGAAGTCTGTAACTCAGACCTGCTCCCTTGGCAATCACTCCCTTGTATCTGCTCCCGCAAGGTCTCTGGCTTGGGTTGTCCCACAGAGGTCTTTGGCTCAGGCTTGCTCCCTTGGTGGTCACTCCCTTGTACTTATTCCTGCAGAGGTCACTTCCTGGGGCCTGCTCCTGTGGAGATTGACTCCTTTAATGTTAAACTTATCCTTAAAGTTCAGGATGTTGTTTTCAGCCATCCAGGTCACCAGGACATAGTGCCCTATATTGTGGCCTGGTGTTACCTCCTGATCCACTCCCTTTCATGGCTAAAACCCCTTCTTCCTTCCTCAGAGAATGAAACTGCCATTTCTTCCTGTCCCACCAAAGAAATCAAAAGAGAAAGCCAACAGATCTAATACTCCTGCAGTCTTGCCTATGCCATCAAATAATGAAGGGGACTTTCATCCCCCTTACCCCTCCCTATAGCCCTCTGCTTTGCAGGTGGACTAGGAACCCCCCTTCTAAGAGACAGCACAGTTGCTGACCCTAATTCTGCCTCACTTTCCCCTAAGCCTCCTGATTCCCTGCAGAGCACCTCTGCCTCACCTGAGCCTTCTGCTCCCCTGTGGAGCTCTTCCTCCTCAGCATCTCCCTCCTGTATTCCCTCCCTGAGTGTTCCTCTACCCCTCCCCTCCCACTGTTGGAGCCCCTGAAGACAGATGGGATTACAGTACTGCTATTGCCAGATTCTCATAGATGGTCTCCAAGCACCTGCTAAGAAGCCCACAGATTTGTCTAAGGTAGTCAGGTAGTGCAGGGAAAGGATGAGTCACCAGTAACATTTATTGAGTGCTTGATGGAAGCTTTCTGCACCTACCCTCCATTGAATCCAGAGGCTCCTGAGAATCAGATGGCAGTCAACCTGGCTTTCATCAACCAAGCAGCCCCAGATATCAAGCAGAAGCTTCAGTGGCCCAAAGGATTTAAAGGTAAAAATCTGACTGAATTGACTGCTATAACCACTAAGGTTTATAACAACAGAGAAGAACATGAAGATAAGCACACTTTCGGGTGGCTGAAGTCTTACTGGCAGATAAGAGCTGGAGGCCTGATGGGCAGAGGGAATGTAGGCACATAGCCAACGGGTGAGGAGATGAGAAAGGCCATGAGCACCCCCTCCTCAGATTAAGTCAATGTGCTTAGTGCAAGGAAAGGCGCCATTGGAAGAAGAAATGTCCACAAAGAAAGAGAAGACAAAGGCATATGGAATGACAGGTCCAGACAACTGAAGGAGACAGGTTTGAAGTTTCTCCTCAATCCTTGGGTAAACTCTAAAAGTAGAGGGGCAACCTGTTGATTTCTTAGTGGACACTGGTGCTCACCATTCAATGTTAAAGACTCCACTGGAACCTCTATCAGACAAACAGGGATGGTCCTACAACCATGGACCACAAAATGTACTGTGGATTTGGGAAGAAAGTTATACATTTCTTTATAATTATCCCTAAATGCCCCTACCCACTTGTGGGAAGAGACTGACTGACCAAGATAAAAGGTCAAATTCATTTCACTGAGAAGGGGGTGACAATTTCCACATGGCCCAAAATCTACACCTTATGCCTGTACCTAGAAGAATAATACAGGCTCTTTTCACAGACTCTGACTTTAGAGGCATCTCCTCTAATGGCTGAACACCAGTGCTCCATCCCAGGAGTGTGGGCAGAGACTAACCCACTGGAGCTAGCAACAGCCCCCAGCTGTAATCGCCTTAAAATCCAATGCCCAACCGGTCACAGTGAGGCTGTACCCCATGGTCCCAGAGGCTAAGCTGGGCATTAATAGACATATTAACTGGCTCCTGGAGCATGTAATGAATACTAGTGCCTTGCCAGTCTCCTTGGAACACCCTGCTTCTTCCAGTTAGGAAGTCAGGGACCAATGACTATCGACCAGTACAAAGTCTTAGGGAGATTAACAAATGGGTTGAAGACATTTACACTATGGTTCCCAACCCCTA